CAAAGCAGAGTTGGTGATTGTTGTGGACAGACTAACCTAGACAATTTTGAGTTTTATTTTGTTTCTGTCCACTTTGAATTAAGTTATGATGTAAGGATGATCTGCAAAGTAAAATTATAATTTTTGTCTATGGGGTTTGGTGGAGAGTGATAGTGATAGTATGGTTTCTGGTTTTCTCAAAAAAATGTCTGTAGAGATCCTTTCCATAATGCTGTCAGACACTGAGAATAACAATCTGAGCTGGTCAGTGGCAAAAACAAACATCTCTTTAGTCGACGTACTTTGACCTTGACTTTGTCCCAAAGGACTAATGTTAGTTTATGTTGTGGCCGCTGCAGCCTTTTCACAGATATATCTTTTCACATATAACTCTAATTTAATGATTTGACCAAGCCCCTGTTGATGATTGTTGAAAAGACTAACAAACACGTTTTTGGTGAGTTTTATTTTGTTTCTTTCCAGTTTGAAGTTTGTTTTATGATGATCTGCAAGCTAAAATTACTGATTTTGTTAATGGAGTCGGGTGTGCCGTAGCAACCATTTGTTTTCCATCCATACATCCAGTGGCAAATGATAAATGGTAAATAGACTTGTATTTATACAGCACTTTTTTGGTCTAGCCACCACTCAAAGTGTTTTACGACACTTGTCACATTCACCCATTGACACACACACATTCACACACTTGGCCCAAGGATGTTTCGACTCTGATTAGATTAGATTACCTGCTCTACTGTCTGAGCCACAGCTGCACCATCAGGAAAGGAAATCTATATTTCAATCAGAGACTTCTGCCAACGATATGGATATCATTAGAAGAATTACTTGTTATCCTGCATTAGTTTAAACATAATGGTAAAAACAAATGCCATGGAAATATTTTTAAGCTATAGTGCTGACAGGTAAGAAATGGGCACATTACAGTAAAAGTGCATTAGAAATAAATATTAAAAAAGAAAATCACTGTATAGGATGTTTGAAATTGATGAAAGCAAATCTGTAAATTGATTGGCTAGTCGCACTTCAACTGAAGTTTTTAAATGATGATTAATGATGATAATTCTTGAATTTTATAATTCTTCTCAGATCAACAGCAGCTCCATTTGCAACATAACAGAAAATACAAAAAGGTGAGAAACAAAGATACAGACATTTAACATAACATTTCTTGAATTTCCCTCGGGATAAATAAAGTATCTATCTATCTATCTATTACAATAACATTCAACATGCATTTGATCTGGAATTGAGCTCCATATTTAATTTGACTACTATTTTATGTCCTAATGGCTGCAGTGAAAAATGTCTATTGTGGAACCCTGTTTCTCTGGTTTAATGGTAACAATCTGTACTCATTGTGCAGGACATGGTTGGGGTCAGAGACAGTGTTATTGGCCAGCTTTAATGTGTTCCTATGGTATGCTGATTCATAGAGTTTCTCACCTACAATCTACCATCTCCTCAATCAGACTGCACTGCAGGTACATGTGGACTTTACAGTATATACACACACACAGTCAATAAAGGTAAGGAAAGGTAAAGGTAATTTGATGTGTAGCGCCTTTCAACAACATGGCAATTTAAACAGCTTCTCCTAAGACATAAAAAGAGATTAAAGGCTCTGAAAATGAGCCTTTCTCAAAAAAGAGGGTGATGAGGTCCTACATGAACATTATAACATTGTTTTGGCTGTGTAAATGGGCAACTGTTGGCTGACATATTTACCATAACTTTATTAGGTGATGGTGCGTTAGATGTTGTCTTTGCAGCTTGCTGTCACGTTCTTCTGCCCCCACATGGCCGAAAAAAGAAAGCATACAGCCCCAAAGTCCGCTATTTATATTCTGATCCTGGCAACAATAATCCTCTACAACCAAATAGTTAAGAAGAATAAGGCACTCCATATGGACAAATGTCAATAACCTTTGTGTTGTGAGTTTGTTCCTTGATAACCACAGCGCTTACACTGTGTGTGTGTTCAGTTCAGTTTACCCAAAGATCTGTCACAGCTATTTGATAATAACTACAATTGCATTAACACTTATATATATGATGGCTTCAAGGGGCGAGGCTTGCTAAAAATAAATATTCTTCCCAGATTATTGTATCTTTAATATATCATAGTCAATAGTTTGATTGTTTTTGCTAGTATGTTGCTAATTGCTAAATGCCTTGCTTAATTTTCTTACACTTCCATAAGATAACTAAAAATAAGACACTAACTCTTTTGTAATTTTGTGTTTGATTTCTGTGGAAATCATTTAATATTTAATATAATGAGCAAATATTGTCCTTGTAATTGTATTACAGTGAAGATTCAGTGATAAAACAAAAGTTGTGGCATCTAGTAGTGAAGTTGCAGATTACAACTAGCTGAACAATGCTCACATCTGTATTCGACGACCTGGAAATGAAGCTTTTAGGAGAAACTACAGTGGCTGTGAAACTTGCAAAAGGAAAGAATGGAAGGCAACCTGTGGCTCTAGATAAATACGTCTCATTCTAAGGTAACAAGAACACAACAGTTCTTATTTCAACTAATGATTATACATTAATGAAAACATATCTATGTATATAATATTTTATTTCTTTTTTAAAAATATATATTTTTTGGGCTCTTTATTGCCTTTAATTGATAGAGACAGCTGAAGGTAGACAGGAAATGGATGAGAGATAGAGAGAGGGGAAACTCAGGTCGCTGTGGTAGGGACTCAGCCATAACACATGGGGAATGTGAGGGACAGAATGTATTTAAATTCTCTATGAAAAACTAGCCAAATTGTTTTAATGAATTGCTGAGAAGAAAGAACCCTGAGGTCCTGAACAAAAAGCAATTTATTTTTGTAATCAGATTCTATTAATCAAAACCAAGATAAGTTTGTGATCATGCCTGGTAGGATCATATCTTGTTTTAATACTATGTGGATATCATGAACACAGGCTTGCAGTTTCATTTATTAAAAAAATAATGACAATTTAAATTGCAATGAGATATTTTCCTCTAATCGCTACAACCCTAGGTTCAGTGTTCGTGTGAGAAAAAACTCCAGCGAGTGTGAGAAGTAGGCATAAATGGACTATTGTGACAGTGATTGTTTAGGTTGCAGGATGTACTGAAGTGAACGGTTCAGGACAAATACAAATACTGTATCGTTACACCCCTGATACATTCCCTCTGATTAAGTCCAATCAGCACAGTCTAGTTTCACCTATATGTGAAATGGCTCGGACCTTACTAGACTCCTTATAAACCCCAGTGTGCACTCGGCCCCCCCACCCACCACCTATCAGTGAGTGGCTTCCAGTCCTTTAAACCTGATGAGTAACTTTGTAGGCAGTCAGTAACATTGAATCACTAATTACAACTGAGGAACAGATTGAGTGAACTCATGGTAGAACAAGAAATGTTTGTTGCCCTTTATGTGCTCATGGATGGATGGCTAACAGGCATGTACACTATGCACACTATCTTTAGATTTTTTTCCCTTCTAAACTAACAACTTGTATATTACTAACCTCACTATCAACGTCTAAAATTGGATTTGAGTATTTCAGTCAGAAGCGACAAGGGAGATTTCAGGTTGGCGTACATGTGACTCAGTTGCCTGCAGAGTCGCCAGTCTCCACTTTCCGCACCTTTTCTATTTTGTGTTGCAAATAGATGATAGTCAGTAAGCCCCTCTGAGTGCGAACAACACATTTTATTTTCACCACACAAGCACGAACCGCTTTCCAGTCTCTTTCTCAAATTACTGTTTAAAAATATCCCACTTTGGGTTCAATCCAAAACACTTGAAGTTGTTTGGCATGCCAATCTAAAGCTTTTGGCAGAGCTATATGGTCAGCGGTGTGACCTCTAGCACCCTGTCATTTTTGTCAACTATTCGATTAGTATGTAAACTTGGTATATAGACTTAAGGAATGTATTTCCCTTAAAAATACTGTAGACACATTTCTTCAAGGGTAAGGCTGCCATTTTATTATTTTATTATATATAATAAAATAATATATAACTATGACACTACACATCTTATTGTAACAGTCATCATTATGTCATTGTATTGTGTATCCTATTACTGTTACTTATATCCTAAATATTATTTTATTTTATATTTTATTCTCCAAACATAGAGGAATAGTTATATGCCTATACACCGCATATGCAGAATTGTATGTATTATAATAATTATATATATATATATATATATATATATATACTGTATATTTATTAATTTATTAATTATATAATTGAATTATATAATGGATTTACGTAACATTAACGTATTGATAATATTAACTAGTTAGGTTTACCAGACATAAACAGACCCAATGGCTATTCTAGTGTCAGCAAACAAAAAAACAAACTGAGACAGATTACACTCAAACACAGACAGGCACAAAAAACATATTTCTGCATTCTGTCCCATGAACCTGATAACTGCCTCCTGATGTGTCTGGAGGCCCTACATCTGTTTATGACCTGCAAATGAACTTTTACAGCCTCTGTAATCAGGAGCAGAAAGTACAAGTGATGCCTTGACAGATTACACAACTAAACATGTCTTTTCACCAACAGAGGAACATGTTGAAACACAGCTGATCTCCGACACCTTCTGTGTGGCTATTTTTGCCTCACTTCACTGACCGTCTCTGTGCGGTCACAAAATTTCTGCCCTCAAGGGTATATTGAAGGCTGCTACGGCTGATTCAAATCAGTTATGAATTATGGAAATCATTCGAGAATAATGTGAGATTATTAGAAAGTTAAAATCAAATTGTTATAAGAACATATAACAGATTCTGCTTCCCAATATATGAAATATGGAGATTAAATAATCTACCTATCTGTCTC